TTTTTTCCCTCTTAATTAATTGGCCTCTCAGAGTTGGTAAGACAACTCCCACCTGTTTATGCTCTCTGTATGTGTTTATATATATCTCCTCAATATATGTTCCATTCTATATGCATCCGAAGAAGTGGGCTGTAGTCCACAAAAGCTTATGCTCTAATAAATTTGTTAGTCTCTAAGGTGCCACAAGTACTCCTGTTCTTCTTTTTGCGGATACAGACTAACACGGCTGTTACTCTGAAACCTGTCACATGTTAAAAGTTTATTTTAAAAAATAACCCATTTTGAGTTTATGTAAGTGCAACAAACAGCACTCCAAAAGCAATATTAGAACAGTGTTTCCACAGGTCATTTTTAATTAAAAAAAAAATCAACTTTAGCTGAGTAGTCATGAGAAATATAATTAGTGATACATTTTTTGTCTGTGGAAAGTTTCTAAGTGCATAGAAAGTCTTCTAGTGATAGAACTAGTTGGTTCTCAACAACTAGAGTATCACTGCTGCTCACTGCTGTAAGTTATAGAATTTGATTTTATTTTGTAACTGGCTGACAATGTAATTTTTGTTAGGGTTATTTTTACTCTTCTCTCCACAAGATGGCTCCATGAACATTTCTTTGGGTATCCCATGAGAAATAAAATTAACTGTACGTGTAGGTCACTGTCTTCAAATATCTTTGAGTGTGTGGACTGAAGCATCTAGTGGGAGCAACCCCCCAGGACTATAACAAAATACCGAAAGTTTATTTACTTGCTCCTTCGAGGGGTGGTCTTGGAAATTCTTAATAGAAGGTTGCATCAGAGTTCAGACACTCCATGGCAAGACTGATGAGGTTTTTTTATATACAGCTTGGTTCCTCCTCCTTTAAAAATACAACCACAAAATCAAAGGAGAGAAATAAGGCTGTGATGTTCATGAATTATGTTGAGAGCTGGTCAAAATTTGGAATTTAACAATTCTCAGCCTAATTTGGAATTTGAATTCTGACATTTCAAAAAATCCTTTTGCCCCATATTGGAACGAAAAGTTGAAATTCACTGTGAAACAAAATATCTGAACAAATTTGTTTTGGAATTATTGAAATGACCTTATCAAAGGTTAAAGCGCTTTGTTCCAGCTTTTTCCATTAATGCAGTGTTTCCCAAATTTGGGATGCCGCTTGTGTAGGGAAAGCCCCTGGCGGGCCGGGCCGGTTTGTTTACCCGCCGTGTCCGCAGGTTCGGCCGATCGCGGCTCCCACTGGCTGCGGTTTGCTGCTCCAGGCTAATGGGAGCTGCTGGAAGCGGCGGCCAGTACGTCCATTGACCTGGAGCAGCAAACCGCGGCCAGTGGGAGCCGCGATCGGCTGAACCTGCGGACACGGCGGGTAAAGAAACCGTCCCGGCCCACCAGGGGCTTTCCCTACACAAGCGGCGTCCCAAATTTGGGAAACACTGCATTACTAGGTTCATTTTCCCCCCATAAAACTGTTTTCACAATTATACTGTAGCCTTTCAGTAATATACTCTTCAGTGCCCCTCTGCCATGTACATTGGCCAAACCAGACAGTCTCTACGCAAAGGAATAAATGGACACAAATCTGACATCAGGAATCATAACATTCAAAAACCAGTAGGAGAACACTTCAACCTCTCTGGTCACTCTGTAACAGACTTAAAGGTGGCAATTTTGCAACAGAAAAGCTTCAAAAACACACTCCAACGAGAAACTGCTGAGCTTGAATTAATATGCAAACTAGAGACCATTAACTTGGGTTTGGATAGAGACTGGGAGTGGCTGGGTCATTACACATATTGAATCTATTTCCCCATGTCAAGTATCCTCACACCTTCTTGTCAACTGTCTAAAATGGGCCATCTTGATTATCACTACAAAAGTTTTTTTTCTCCTGCTGATAATAGCTCATCTTAATTAATTAGCCTCTTATAGTTGGTATGGCTACTTCCACTTTTTCATGTTCTCTATATGTATCTATATCTTCTTACTATATGTTCCATTCTATGCATCTGATGAAGTGGGCTGTAGCCCACGAAAGCTTATGCTCAGATAAATTTGTTCATCTCTAAGGTGCCACAAGTACTCCTGTTCTTTTTGCGAATGCAGACTAACACGGTTGCTACTCTGAAACTTTTATCCTGTTCATGACTTTATTGTGGAACAGCCATTCATAACTTATTAGCTTGATGTTTTCCATTGCAAAGATTCTTCCTGACAAAAGTAAAAAGACACTGTCCCCTCTCTTAATGGGCTGGTTTTACTTCCTTATGCTAAAAGACAGATTGGTTCCTGATACTAGCAGTAATATAGATGTCTACAGTGCTAGTCATCTTGTCCTCACTCCTCCATTTCTCAGTCAGGAACTACCATAATTAAAGAAGTCACAAAGAAAACTTTACAAATTCATTGGTTTTGTGCCTGATTTTGACTCCATTTAAAAATAGTGAAAATAGTAGTTTAATGGTATTTCTTTCTGAACTGCCCTATCATTTGTGTGATGGAATTGGAGCTGTTCTGTAATAATTTATAAATACTGTATATTGACCTGGTTCTTGGGATTTTTACTGTATGAATATATTGATTTTGTTTAATAGGGGACTGTAGGGGAAAGCAAGCAGGAAAGGAAAGAATGGCTCAAGATAAGCCACTTGTGAGCAAACATTTGAGAGTTAAGAGGCAGTTTCAGGACAGGAAAATGCTGGGAACACAGAAGATCAAAAGAACTATGGAAGATTTAATAAGGGTCTCTTGGGCGAAGGTGTGAAGGGGCAGTTGTTCAGAGCAACCAGGCTGACGCAGGCTCCCATTAGACTGAGTGTCTGAAGAAGTTAAGGCCTGCCTAAGTTACCATCAGGCAATGATGTGCCCTTCACTCTAAAAACTGTGTTCCTATTCATGAATAAATAATACTTTGTTTTTAAGAAGTCTGTCTGCACACTGGGCATCGCTAGTCATGGACTTCCAAAGGGAAGAACCTCAGGTGTCCAAACTCAGTTGGACCTGCAGGGTGAGAACAGTTAACATGCAGGGTACTGTAGCCCGGGCCCTGATTTAAGTGTGGGAGAATTGTGGAATTCCACCCCAGGACAGATAAAGGCATGACGAAGTGCCCTCGAAGAGACCAAAAAAGAGGAGCAGCTAGACCTGTAACTATGAGTATTGGTAAATTACTCCATCAAGAAACATACATCACGCTTCTCATAAACTACGACTAATATAATACAGTCTGACCCCTTTGTCGTGCATGACTGGAAAGTAAATTGGTAAAACCCATTCTCATTCTTAGTATCTTTGCAGATTAAAGCATAGATAAAAGAATGAAAAGTTCATTATATGTTTTGGCTGGTAGTTTAAACTGTGTTTTAAATTCTGGACACTCTAATTATTTAATGTTTAATATGGATCGAAGGTCAGAGTCAGTGGTTTTGCTAAGATGTTGTTCCGGGGAGTTCGTGTAGATAAAACATATGTTTAGGGATGTTTTGCCACATAGGTTTACTCTTTCCCTCCCCCCCCCCCCCCCATAATCTATCTATATATTACTTGCCTTGTGAAGTCCACAACCTTATTGAGGCTCCTAAAACGTGCATAGAAATATAGCCATGTATACTATTAAAAACAGAATGTCTAAAATGGAAAACATAATTTTATCCATAAGTCCTAAAATTACTATTTCTACCAATTCTGCATATTTACAGTAAAATAATATGCTGAACAAGCACTATAAAATTGATATCAGTACTATCTATTGACATCACCAAAAATTGTATACACTAAAAAATCAAATACTATTCACATATTTCTACTTCAAAAATATTCTTAATAGATCATCTTCATATGGAAAATATATTAATACAGATAATAGAAAAATGTTTAAATACGCCTCTGAAGAAATGTTCCAGTAATTAAGTCTGTTGCCAAACAAACAAACAAACCCTTTCCAGCTTGAAAGAGAATGTCCAGATAAGTTAGCATGTGTATTTGAAAGTGGTGAAGCAACTAGATATATTGAATACGAATTTCATACATTTTAGAAAGTATGGGGTTTTGTGTGTGTTTATATGAGCATTTGCCAAATTAGATGGGAACTCTCTTTCATACTTAGCTATTTTTCTGAAATGATGAATTCTGGATTTTTGGTTTTTATTTTGTATTTCAGTTCAGTTATTTTGAGTCACTTATAGTGAGCATGTCCACTGTTTCCAGTGCCTGGCTATGGATTTCCCTTGCAAGTTGTACTTTTTTGTTTTTTTAATTTTGACAATTGATCTGGCTTCGATGTATTTACAAGGTGAAGCCCCAACTGCCCCCAAATTCTTTGTCTTCCCTTTCTTGGCAGAGCAAATCAACTTTTTTGACATATTAGTGTCACCATACAGTAATAGTCCACTAGAGGGAATTCCATAGAAAAGTTATCAAAAGCATTGTGCTTCCTGTCTATCATAGTGTATTTTTAGCATGGCAGATCCTTAATTAATCAAAGTAAATGGCTTTTCTAAATGTATGCAGTGCCAGTGGGAAATATGAACAGGGGACATAAGTAGCCAGAAATCTTTGGTCCCATTTGATCCCCTTGGTACCAATGTTGCCCTAGGTTGCAATCAATACCAAGTAAGAGAGTATACATCATTGTTTATTTAGAGAATATATAGCCAATTCAGTCTAATTTGAGGCTGGAGTAACTTTTAAAAAAGAAAAACCTTCCACAGCTGTGGATAATAATGCAAGAAGGAATATTAAGTATTAAACTCTTCACCCAACTTCAACTCTATTTGAATGTCCAAAAAAAGTTGCATGAACAGATTGGCTGTGTATTAAGCAGATGAGGAAACTTGTTATAATGCCTAAAGCATAATCTAATTTTTAAAAGTCTTGCCCCCCCCAAAAAAAATTATGGAGAAGAAAAATGGTATTTTTTAAAAACTCTGGTAGCATTTGTACACTTAAGAAGTGGTGTCAATTTAATGTTAAACTCTTCATCATTTTCCCCCTACATTATTTCACAAGATGTCCTTGGTAGATTTGGGAAAGAAGCTTTTAGAAGCTGCACGAGCAGGTCAAGATGATGAAGTTCGCATTTTGATGGCAAATGGAGCACCTTTTACCACAGACTGGGTAATAAAAAAATTTCATTTGTTTGAAATGTTTTTACATTATTTTTGTTTCTCTGTGATATCTTCCTTGGAAAAGTGTAACTAAATTATCAGAAATCTATACAGTCATATAAACCTACATTGAGGTTTATATATATTTCCGTATTGAATGTGAGGTTGGACACTGGACTATGGCATTGCAAATTGAAGCTGGGTAGTTAATTGTATTGTCTGACCTAGGAATTAGGTACCCGGGACTATTTTGGGCACTGGGCAAGTAATTGGGTAAGTAATTGATGATAGTGAACTCTGAATGAGTTAATCTTTTAATGGCAGTCCAACTGAACTTTGGAAAATATAATAAAATGTGTACATCATTCAGAACGAAAGCTCATCCTGATTACATGACCATGTGTTAGTTTAGGAAGAGGGCCCAATTAATACCTTTATTCTAATTGCTGATGATCAGCAGAAGTAGGCTCAATGACAAACACCTAAGCTGGAAGTTGGTAGAGTTGGAACATGTATGCGACCTTGAAGAGGCAAGCCATAGACAGTGGTCTCTTCTCTGGATGATGGGAACTTGTTAGCAGAAAATCTCAACTTGGAAATCTTTCTTTTTATATTTCGTTCTTTCAATCTGCTATTCCTTCTTTCCATGAAATTTAAAAGGGAAAAAGATAGGATTATTAAGAGAAATAGAGTTAGAATTGGTTGACAGATGCCTGGGTTCTGTACCTCCAGGATAGAAGAGACAAAATGAGAGGGTTGGAAGTGAGTACTTCATGCTGTTTGTTTGGTTTGTTTGTTTGTTAATAGTCCACTTTTGTACCACATTACAGTTGGGAACATCACCACTTCATCTAGCAGCACAGTATGGGCACTATTCAACAACAGAAGTGTTACTTCGAGCAGGTGTAAGTCGGGATGCGAGAACAAAAGTGGACAGAACTCCATTACATATGGCAGCATCTGAAGGCCATGCAAACATAGTAGAAGTCTTACTTAAGGTAGAAACTTCTTTTTATGTTATCTGCCATTTGAAACTGAATCTAGAAGACTAGTTAATCATAAATCTGCATAGGTGTAACTTTCTTTAATCCCTCAATTGGCTGAAAATGACTTTTTAAATAATTTTAAGGGCTTTTAAAAAATTTAACATCTGTACTAAAGGTTACAGGTGGTACATTCTTTTTCCCATTCAGTTTTGTATTTTATTTTTAAATATTTGTTACAATCAGTGTGCTTTCAGGCAAATTGTTTACTGGCACTCAAAAATAAGACTTCTTCATAATGCAGTACTATATAAATAAAAATCTTCTAAAACCTACACCTGTGGTCCTAGGAATTATTTAATCCTTTGTGTTAATGTGTGTGGTAATTACTATAAAGTACATTTAATGAAATAGTAATTATAAGACAGCAGGAAGTTCCTTGCAGCAAGCAAGTGAAAGAGAGTACTTTCATCATCTTGCATATGATTACATTTGCAGCATTTTGCAGTTCAAACAGTCTGTGCTTATTTGATTTATGTAATGTTTTTGTTTGCAGCATGGTGCTGATGTTAATGCAAAGGACATGCTAAAGATGACTGCTCTTCACTGGGCTACAGAACACAATCACCAGGAGGTGGTGGAGCTCTTAATAAAATATGGAGCAGATGTCCACACGCAAAGTAAATTTTGCAAAACTGCATTAGATATTGCAATAGACAATGGGAATGAAGATGTAGCAGAAATATTACAGGTAATGTTTTGATTTATGATGCAGATGAAACTTACAGAAAGATGCTGACCAGCTAAATTGTTAATTTAGTAGTTGTTGGAGGTTGCATGGTGATGAACATAGATTTTCTCCTCTTCGGTCCATAGCATAGAAGTGAGATGATACTAATACATATTTGTGTAAAAATTGGCTGAAGAATGCTTTTAGCCCCTGCCAATTGAAGTGAGGGCCTTTAGTCTTCTTAACTTGCTCATTCCGACTTACAGAATAGCTGGGATAGTTTGCAGATGGGGTATGGCAACTAAACTTTAAGCTACTGGCATCTCGGGCAATATGTCCTGGCTTCAGTGGTAGATTAGCTTCACATGGGGGGCTAAATTAGTTGGTGGGGATGGGAGAGGGAGGCGATGCCCTCTTTTTGTTGACTAGGCACCAGTCCAACTTTCTATACTAGTGAGGATGGGATCCATTGGAATGCCCAGTTTCACACAGCCAGGCTTTTTGGCTTACCAGTACAGTCGCTTGCATGGTAGCTTCAGACCTTTTCAGACGCTGAGATTATGTAGTTTTATATAAGCTTCATGGTTAAGTGGGCCGCTTTGGCCTAGAATAAGTGAGGGTATTGAGTATTCAGTATTGAAATGCTAGGGAAACAGGTGTTGGTGGCAGTCTACTGTTTTACTTCACTCAGATTATGTTGCCTTTATGAAGCAAATAAGATAAAGTCTAAAGTTGCAGCCTCTTGGTCACAATTTACATAATTTGGTGTGAGTCCTCATCGGTCCTTGGTCTTTCCAATCTACTTGAAATAGCTCCTAGATTATTACTTGGGTGCGGGTTGACTGTAGATTTACATTTTGTTCTAGTCTTATATACCTTCTCCTGTGGAGGAAGCTGTCATTTAAAAAAAACATTTTTATAGAAGTATACTCTGTTTGTTTGTTTTTAATGTTTATTTGCAGACTGAATAGTACTGTTGTCTTTTGACTCCTAGATTGCAATGCAGAACCAAATCAATACAAATCCAGAGAGTCCTGACACTGTGACAATACATGCAGCTACACCACAGTTTATCATTGGACCTGGAGGAGTGGTGAACCTAACAGGTCTGGTATCTTCTGCAAATATTTCAAATGCAACAGCTATTTACATGCATTTAGGATAGCTATTGCCATTTTATGCAAAGGCTATTAAGAACAGTGATGGTAAGATTGCAGCAGGTGCCTTATTCCTCTTTGTTGTCTTTTGTATATTATAAATATCCAAGTACTTAGAATAATAATGTAAATTGAGGTAACGCATCAGAAACTGCATTAGCCTAAAAAACTTGTCTTCAGAATAGCACTTTTGGTTTATAACAAGACCAATATATGTCTTCACTGTAAAAAAAAAATAGGGACTTGTGTGACATTCTAATACAAGTTTGTGAACTGACTTTATTTTTTCTCCTTCTAGACGAGACGGGAGTATCTGCTGTACAATTCGGAAATTCATCAACATCAGTATTAGCTACATTAGCAGCTTTAGCAGAAGCATCTGCTCCTCTGTCCAACTCTTCGGAAACACCAGGTTAGAAAGCAAAGTAATTTATTTGCATTGAGTAAACGAACACAAAGAATGTGGAGATAAAGCTTTCGGCAGTACAATTTGTCTGAAAATGGATTGAAATTCATTTTAAAAATACTGAAAATAAATTAATACCCATTTTGTTCAAATCAGCAATGTATGAGGATCATATCGTGTAAAATACTTACCACATATAAGATGTAACTATTTCAGAGTAAGACTTTTTTTTATTTACAGTTGGTATTTCTGAATCTCCTGGAGGCAGCACTCATTTTCGTGAAACGTAACATCATTCAGGAGCCTATAGTCAGATCAAAAACTGGTTTCTGACCTGCAGTATTACTAGTTGGGAAAAAAACTTTTAATATCTGAACACTAGACATTTTGTTTAAAGTATCAGAGGGGTAGCCGTGTTAGTCTGTATCCACAAAATCAACGAGGAGTCCGGTGGCACCTTAAAGACTAACAGATTTATTTGGGCATAAGCTTCCATGGGTAAAAAACCCACTTCTTCAGATTCATGGTGCCACCAGACTCCTTGTTGTATTTTGTTTAAGTTCATATTTTTTTTAAACTAGGAAAAGATGGCCATAAAATACAACATTCAAACAAAACACACTTATCATGTGAAGACCACTAAATAATCTTAAATATATTGGATTAAATCGTTAACTAACTTGAGTGCAGCCCATAAAATGACATGTGGGTCCTCTCCCAAAAACTGAAGCATCCTGCCTGCAAATGTAACACATGTATGTAGAGCTAAATCCTGCCTGGATAGCACTACTAGTGTGACCAAGGATGCTGGAAAATGTATTCACTGTTCTAAGAATCCTGCCAGTGGGGATAGGACTGGGGAACGCTCTTCTGGGCACACATTGCTGCTGCACTGAAAAGGAGCAACATGCATCTTCAACTAGTATCTGCAGCCATCTGTAGCATATTTCACTCTGCAAGGCTGTGGGAGGACAGAGAATCAGTTGACTGCCAAGATAGTATAAAGTGTCATTAGCCCCAATTACTCTGAACATACAACATAGCCTACATCTTTTATTCCCTTTAAAAAAAAAAATTACAGAGGGGCGTAGCCAGCGCCTTCTCTGTTTCGGGAACTCTTAACGAGGCTTGGGATGGCCTGATATTGTCCAGAGGTGGTTTTTACCAGGTAAAATCATGGTTTTTAGCACTCTGGGATAAACTACTTCATCCCAGTTTAAGGCATTTTCTATTTTTAAAAACTGTTTTGTTAATGCATGCCACATTACACTAAGGCCTAGTCTTCACTTACCGGCTGGTCCGGCGGCACGCCATCGATGTTCTGTGATCGATTTATCGCGTCTGGTTAAGACGTGATAAATCGATCCCGGATCGATCCCGGAAGTGCTCACAGTTGGCGCCGGTACTCCAGCTCGCCGAGAGGAGTACGCAGCGTCGACGGGGGGAGACTTCCTGCCGCGTCTGGACCGCAGTAAGTCCGGACTAAGGTACTTCGAATTCAGCTACGTTATTAACGTAGCTGAATTTGCGTACCTTAGTCCGAAGTCTGGACTAAGTGGGGACCAGGCCTTAGTTTTAGTTACATATTCAAATTGTGGCTACATAAGGCAGTAGATTCATAGATTAATTTAAGGTTGTACAAATAAAAAGTAAAACTGCAGTGGATGTAATACTTGTAATTATAATACGAACATTGGAATGTCTGTATACATTTTGGTTTGGTATTTTCTCGAGTAAGTTGTGTGTGTCATGACTCATATTTCAGTTTTCAATATTATAGTTGAAAACATTTGATTATATGAAAATGACAATAATGCAGAGTTGTAGGCTTGAAGCATTAAGCGATCAGAAGCATGCAGAGTTGCAGACTACCAATCCAAGTTAATTTGGCTGTGCAGCATTCTGTAGCAGAAGACCAACTTTGATGTAGTGAGTAGACTGAGCCTATTCCTCAGTCTTGAATGGATGTATCTGAAGTTTGAAAAGATTTGTTCTATGTTTGCTGGACACTGATCAGTTATTTTTCCCAGTGTCCTGGTTTAAATCAAGTTTAAGCTGGTATTTACCAGCATCCTGTCCTCAACTAGATTTTCCCAGGAAATTGCCAACCCTATTGCCATGAATATGCTTTCCCAGTCTGCTGCCTTCCCCCCATTCCTACTTCTGTCCATTTATGATGCAGAAAGTTAGGAAAGAGAGGGCAGTCATGAATCCGGTGCAACTGAAGTGACTTCAAAGACTATGATTATTAGACCTTGTGAAGATGGCAGCAGATATTTATATATCATATAGAAAAAAATTCTTCTTCTTCAAGTGATTGCTCCTGTGTATTCCACAGTAGGTGTGCGTGCTTGTCACGTGCACCGGTGCCGGAAATTTTTCCCTTAGCAGTACCCATAGTGGGGAGCACCGCTGTGAGCCCTGGAGTGGCGCCTCTATATCGCGCTATAAGGGGAGCTGTGCACTCCCCCCACCCTCAGTTCCTTCTTGCTGCCAGTGAAGGTAGTCGGAACTTTGTGCTCCAGCTCTGCTGTAGCGCTTCTAGGCTTAGTAGTACAACTCTTCTTAGTAGTCTGATTCTCTAGTTAGTTGCCTGGCTCGGGGCATGCCCTATGCCCCAGGCTTCAAGTCGTGCGACTTCTGTCGCAGTTCTATGCCCAGAAGCGACCCACACTCTCAGTGCCTTCGCTGTCTGGGTGAGACTCACGTAAGTGACCGTTGTAAAATTTGCATATCGTTCAAACCAAGAACGAAACGTGAAAGGGATATCCGTCTCCGGGCTCTACTAATGGAGTTGGCATTGGCCCCGGTGCCGGGCACATCGTCAGTGTGGAGTGACGCCCCATCAACCAGTCGGCACCGCTCCCCCGCTAAGAAGCAAGGGAAGACTCAGCAGCGCCAAGAGGACAGGGGTGAGGCCACACCCAAGTTGGGCGGCCCACGATCCCCCTCGGGACCCAGACCTCTGACTCACGCTGAGCGGAGTAGTCCGGTCCCATCCGCGCATGCCTCTCCTGCGGTGAGAATACAGTCAACTCTGGAGGCAGCACAGGAAGCGCGTGACATCCTCGCCCTTCCGGTGCTGGGCGCGCCGCCCGAGACGGGCCCTCGCTCCCGAGGGAAGCTGCCGCTGGGAGCTCATTAACCCTCCCCGGTCCGGATAGCCCCCGCTCCGAGGATGAGGTCCCTACCCGTTCTGCGAGGCCATCTCATAGCTCGCGTCAGACTTCCACTCCATTGGCCGATTTGCCTGGGAGGGAGTCCCGAGGGCCCTCCACTACCCGGAGGGGTTGCAGGCACCGAGACAAGAAGCGTCGACGCTCCTCTTCCTACCGGAGTTATAGGAGCAGGTCTCAACGCTGTCGGCACCGACTCTCAGATTCGAGTGCTCGCTCCGACAGGCGTCGTTCGCGAAGCACCCCTCAGCCGTCACCGAGGCGTCGTAGCCATGGTCACCGGGGGGGAATCTGGAAGCAGTACTTCTGACGGGTACAGGTCTTCTTCATCGAGATCTAAATCTCGAGGCTGGCAGCGACACAGCCGTGGATGCTCCCGTTGCTCGTTCGGCACCGTGTGCTCTTCAGCGACTTTGGCTTCGGCACCCAGCCACCCATCCCCGGGCCGCACCGTCCTGCACGATCAAGCGGCTCCGCTAGGTCCCCAGGTGGGGCACTGGCAAGGGGCACCCTGGCAAGGGCAGTGGTGTCAGTGGGCACCTTGGCCCCAACTACCGGCACCGGCGAGACCCCGTTCGTTGGCTGGGGCATCACAGATACATTTGACGTCCCCCCCTCGGCACTGGGAAAAGTCAACCGGCACCAAGACAGCGGCACTGCACCCGGGCTTGGACTTGGGGGTTGAACCACCAGTACCGCCTGATGCCCTGGGGGCAGATCCGGTCCCGGCAACGGCACCGGAGGAATCCATTGCGGTGTCACCACCCGGGTTACGGGAAGATTTTAAGGCTCACCAGGAACTCCTTAGGCGGGTCGCCTCAAATCTCCAGCTCCAGGCTGAGGAGATGGAGAAGCCATTGGACACTTCGTTGAACGTGTTGTCCTCCTCGGCACCGGGCCGTGTGGCCCGTCCTCTCCACGAGGGGGTGGCTAATATCTCGACTTTGCTTTGGCAAACACTGGCGTCCTTGGCGCCTATTTCTAAAAAGGCGGAGAGAAAGTAACTTTGTGCCAGCAAAGGGGCACGAATATTTGTACTCTCACCCCGCACCCAACTCTCTGGTGATGGAGTCTGTAAACCACCGAGAGAGGCCTGGCCAACCCCCGCCCACCCCCAAGGATAAAGACGCCAGGAGACTGGATACCTTCGGCAGGAAGGTTTATTCATCGGCGAGCTTCCAACTCAGGATGGCAAATCACCACGCCCTCCTGAGCTGGTATGATTTTAACTTGTGGGGGTCTCTGCTAAAGTTCAAACCTCTTTTTTAGGAAAAGGACAAGAAGGAGTTCAGGGCTTTGGTCGACGAAGGCACGGCGGCGAAAGCGTCCCTCCAAGTGGCTTCGGACATGGCAGTTACAGCAGCCCGTTCGATGGCCTCGGCTGTTGCCATGCGCAGGGCATCATGGCCCTCGCTGTCAGGGCTGTCTGCGGAGTTCCAGTCCCTCATGCAGGACTTGCCTTTCAACAGGAAGGCCCTGTTTGCAGATCAGACAGACACCTGTCTGCACGGGATGAAGGACTCCCGCGCCCCCCTGCAAACTCTGGGCCTATATGTCCAACCAGCTAAGGACAAACCCAGGCCACAGACCTTGGTTCCTCCGGCTAGAGGCAGATATGAGCCCCTGCCTAAGAGGCCTGGGCCGCCAAGGGCAAGAGGCAGGGGAAGAGGCGCTTTTGACTCTTTGAGGGGGGCCACACTGCCTGTTGCCAGGGAAACCCCCCAGTTAATAAAGTTTGTGTTCTGCAACCGTTTATCTGCCTTCCGAGTGCAATGGTCCTGTATAACGTTGGACCAGTGGGTCCTCAGCACCATTTCCAAGGGCTACATG